CCAAGCTTGTTTTACTCGGGGAACTTCATCCCACCCTTTCCGTCATGGGTAACCAACCATTAACACATTTGACACATCAGTGTCACAGTGTTCAGCCTCACAGCAACCACAAGTTACCGCTGTACGGCAAGTGGACACCCCAGGGCTATACGACCTAGAGGAATGTCTGAACAAAAACAATGAAAGACAGGCTTGAGGGTTGAGGATTAAGTCACCCACCTTTGGCTTTGTAGCATTGCTTTCTGTCCACTGGGCCAACTGATCACTCTCTATGTTGATGTTATTGTTGTTAAGTGCCATCGAGTTGCAGGCGACTCATAGCGACCCAATGAAGCACTTAGTGATGGGTTATTATGTTTGCATACCACCACCCTTCTTAGTTTGTGGTGTTTCGCTTGTTGCTGAGATGCTGCACGCTATGCCAACATTATTTCAGACCCTAACAGGGTGGGTCACTCATGGTGGGCCAGGTTTTACCAGAGCTTCCAGACTAAGATGTATTAGGAGAAAAGGCTGGTAATCTACTTCCAAAAATTACAGAAGCTACCGGAACCAACTCAGTGGGTGGTAGCTGACCCTCCATCCAAAGGTTCAGAGGAAATTATAAAAGTGGAGATGGCCCATCTTTCTCTTGTGGAGTAGCTGGTGAATTTGAACTACCTGCCTTTCGATTGGCAGTGCAACTCTACCCACTAGACCACTAGACCTTGTGCTCTCATCTCTAAAAATTAGCCAGCAAAAAACTCTTGTGGATTATAATAGAACATTGTCTCGCTTGATTGGTTGCTGCTGCTCTGTTGTTGTTGTCATAGCTGATTGTCCAACGGATTTTCAAAGGCAGTCCATCCTTCTCCTGTGGAGCAGCTTGTGGATTTAAACAGCGTCAAGTCCTGGAGGTGGGAATATTTGGTGAACCAGTCTGTGAGGATAAGGTGTACTCTTAGTGAGGTAGATTGGTCTAATAATTTCAATGATGTACTTGAACTACAGCTTCAAATCAGTTCCTTCCACTTCATCTCCTGTTGAAAATTTGCATTTGCACTCCAAGTGTGTAGGATCAGAATCTTTGGATACATAAGTGGTCTATATAAGATTCTTGTATGTTGCTATTGTTGTCAGTTGCCATCGAGTTGAATATGACCCATAATGACCCTATGAACAACAAATCTGAACTTCATCCCATCCTGTGCCATCCTCACATTTCCTGACACTTTAGAGATCACTGTGGCAGTCAGCATGTCAATTGACCTGATTGAGGGTCTTCTTCTTCTTCTTCCTTGACACTCTACCTTTCCTAGCACCATGTTCCTTTCCAAGGAATAACTCCTCCTAGCAACATGCCTGCAGTATGTGAGGGAAAGCCTCATCATCTTTGGCTCCAAAAAGCACTCTGGCTGCATCTGCTCCAAGACATATTTGTTTGTTCCTTTGATAAGAGATATATAATAATCCATAAGAATCACCTAAAGATCTTATTAAAATATATACTCTGATTCACTCTATCTCTGGTGGGAATGTAAATTCTCAGCAGAGTTCAAACAGGAATGAATCAGTTTAAAGCCTGAACTTGAACACACTTGAACAAGGTCAGTACCTTGTGAAGATGATGTTGCAACTAGGCAATGTTTCTGACATACATAAGCTTGCTATGAGTCAGGATCAAGTCAATGACAGAGATCTGTATCTATTGCTGGGTAACATTAAGACTAATATGTCTACACCAGTGGGGATCGCGTTTGTTTCAATTCTTCAGACCTAATGGGGTTCCTGTTGTGTGTCAGACTGTCCAGCTATGGTGGCATGGCCTGTTGTTGTTGTTGTTATGTGCCATCGAGTCGTTTGTGACTCATAGCGACCCTTTGTACAACAGCCCTAAACTCTGCTCTGTCCTGTGCCAATCAAACTGTCTCCGCCACACCCATCCCGATTACCCCAGTCACTGAATCAATCCACCTCATAGAGGGCCTTCCCCTTCTGCGCTGTCCCTAGACCCTCCCAGGCATGATGTCCCTCTCCAAGGACCTGTCCCTCCTGGCAACATGTCCAAAGTATGTTAGATGGAGCCTCAGAATCCTTGCCTCCAAGGAGCAGCCTGGTTTGACCCTTTCCAGGATGAATCTGTTTGTTTTCCTAGAGTCCATGGTACCCTCAATACTCTTCTCCAGCACCACAGCTCAAAGGCATCAATTCTTCTTCTATCTTCCTTAGTCATTGTCCAACTCTCTGATGCATAACAAGTGATAGCAAAGACCCGTATCAGACGCACCTTAGTCTCCAGAGACACCATTGCTCTTCAGTACTTTGGAGAGGTCCCTAACAGCAGACTTTCCCATCACAATATGTCTTCTAATTTCCTGGCGCTGGTGCCAAGAGTGTTGACTGTGGAGCCAAGCAAACTGAAGCTATGAACAATCTCTATCTCTTCACCATCCATCCTGATGCTGCCAATTGGCCCAGTGGTGAGAATCTTTGTCTTCTTGACATTGAGCCTCAATCCATATTGGAGGCTACAGTCCTTGACCTTTTGCAGCAAGTGCTTTAGGTCCTCCTCAGTTTCAGCAAGCAGGGTTGTATCATCTACATATCGCAGATTGTTGCTAGATCTTCCACCAATCTTGACCCCACATTTCTCCTCATAGAGCCCAGCCTGCCGGATAATTTGTTCTGCATACAAGTTGAAAAGGTATGGAGATAGGATGCATCCCTGGTATACGCCCTTCCCAATTTTGAACCACACAGTGTTTCCTTGCTCTGTTCTGATGACTGCCTCTTGGTCCAAGTAGAGGGTTCTCATTAGCATGATCAAGTGTTCTGGGATTCCCATTCTTCTCAGAGTCAGCCACAGTTTGTTATAATCCACACAAATGCCTTTACATAGTCAAAGGCATGGCCTAGGAACCTATTAACGTTCTGAACATTCATCTATAAGTGTATAATAACACATTACATAAAACCATTGTATAAAGCAGAACAAAAGTTGCAAAAATACTGAAGTTATTTATCTCTGGGATCTGCTAGTGAAAATGATCATGAGTTTGCCTAGCCAGTGTAACAAGTTCTAGAAGATATTGTTCCCCCCAAAATTATTCTCTCTGGGCTGAAATTAGGCTGAGTTTCTTCCTTTTAAAAAGTCACTTTGCAGATATTTGTGTGGATCAGAAGCAGCAGAACTTGGGAGGCTGCATGACAAAAAAGGTGGCAAAAGTCTTCTCTTAGCTACCCTTTGGGTTTGCCCTCCTGTCAGCCCCTGAATCCTTAATTGCAAGAATTTGGACTTGACAAGTGGATCCAAGAGTTCCTCTTGTACAGAACGCAGCAACTCTCTGGAAAAGATGCAGACCATCAGGACTTTGTTGCAGGCTCCCCGTGATTTTTGCTCAATTCACAGAAAAGTTCTGACTTAAAAATTCTTTCTTTGTGAGCCTACACACTCAGGCCACCTGGCTCAGGTCCAGGGATGACCTGTAAAAAACCCTCAAGGGGCTCATCACTCTTCTATTACTTGAAACCAGCTGCAGGCCTCTTTGGCAAGTATTTCCATCTTTGGTGACTGACCATCGCACCTGTAATTGCCTGCTCTGGGGCCACCCTGCTTCATATATTTGGGACTCGAGGCCATCCAACAATGGTTCTGCAGGACCAAGCGAATATTTTATTTTTTAAGTGCACAGCAACTTAGGAGAGTAGACTTTAGTGCACAAGGCATTAAAGCACAGAGTGCATTAAATTTAGAGCGCAGGGCCAAGAAGAAGAAGAAAAAAACACCTAAGGAACATCATGCTTGGGAGGGTGGAGGGACAGCGCAGGACGGGAAAGCCCTCCCTGAGGTGAATTGATTCACTGACTGGGATAATCGTTACGGGTGTATCGGAGACAGTTGGCACAGGACAGAGCAGAGTTTAGGGCTGTTGTACATAGGGTTGCTATGAGCCGCAAGCGACTTGAGGGCACATAACAACAACAAACAATAACAAGGAAGCAGAAGTGAAGGTAAAAATTAAAGATAGATTAATTAGAGTTGTGACTAAAGAGGATAGAAGGAGAATTGATGCCTTTGAGCTGTGGTGCTGGAGAAGAGTATTGAGCGTACCATGGACTGCTAGGAAAACAGATTCATCCTGGAGAGGGTCAAACTGCACTGCTCCTTGGAGGCAAGGATTCTAAGGCTCCGTCTAACGTACTTTGGACATGTTGCAAGGAGGGACAGGTCCTTGGAGAGGGACATCATGCTTGGGAGGATGGAGGGACAGCGCAGGAGGGCAAGACCCTCTATGAGGTGCAATAATTCAGTGACTGGGATAATTGGGATGGGTGTGTCGGAGACGGAGCGATTGGCACAGGACAGAGCCGAGTTTAGGGAAGTTGTACATAGCATCGCTATGAGTCGCAAGTGACTCGATGGCACATAACAACAACAACAACAACATTATCGTAAAGGGAGGGATGGACCTTCCTTCTTGAAAGGAAGTATGGAGGAGGCCCAAGCGAATGTCTGCATTCCTGCAGAGACTGGAAAAGCTAGATGATGCGGGGATGCCCGTCGCTGGCCCAGATCATCTAGGCACCAAGCAAGGGGGCGGGGCCAGAGCCCACCGGGGGCGTGGCCTGAGCCCGAGGTGGGCGTGACCGGACTTGCGGGGCGGGGCCTGAGCTCGATGTGGGCGTGACCGGACTTGCGGGGGCGGGCCCTGAGGTCTGCGGGGCCCATTCCTCCTGCGGGGCGCCAGCGGGCGGAAGTGACGTAAGCACAAAGCTATTTCCGGTGGGTCGAAACTAGGAAGAAACTTGGAGCTCCGTGGCACCAGCGCATCCTCTCGCTGCCCCTCGGTGCCCCGTGGCCGGGGCCGCGCCGAGCTGTCGGGAGCCCTGGCCATGGGGCAGCCCGGGCCGTCCGCCGTGTGAGACGCGGGGCCTCCCGCGGGCTCCGCTGACAGGTCGAGGGCGGCCGGGCGGGAGGCGTCTCCCGTGCCGCGGCCCCGCCGATCCAGGCTCTTGGCATCATGAACATAGACGTGGAATTCCACATCCGGCACAACTACCCCTGGAGCAAGTTGCCGGCCAACGTGCGGCAGGTACGGCAGAGCTGGGACGAGGCCTGACCGCCTGGGCCCCGCCGGTACCCTCTCGCTTCCCCCACTGGCCCTGCTGGCTCCTCGAGGCCGACTCCCAGCGTCCCGGGCAGCGGTCTCGGGGGAAACCCATCGTCATCCGGGGCTCCCCGGGCGGGATCGGGAGGAGTGGTGACCTCCCGTCTCAACCTGGCACCTGTGCCCGCAGTCTCCCTTCAGCCTGGCAGTGGGCTGGGCGCCAAGCTAGAGATTGAAAACCCAATCCGTCATTGATCTCTGGGTGTTCAGGACGGGGGTAAAGAGACAAACAAATGAGTCCGGGGCGAGAGGATGGCAGCCCTTACTTGGCTCCTTTGAGCCATGCGTGGCGGGCCTCGGGGAGGTGGGGTGGGGTGTGGAGGAGGCTTTAAAACTGGCCTTTGAAGGAAGAGCGAGCTAGAAAGGTCAGAGGCAAGTAAGATTTTCCAGGGGGAGGGGAAAATCTTACAAAGCTGGCAGGAGCAAAAGGAAAAGCATGTTTTGAGAGTAACCAGCAGTTTTAATTCGCCTTAGGAGGTGTGCACATTTTGTGTGTCTGGGCGTGGATTGTTGTGGGTCCTGGAGGGTGCTGACATGTGAGGCTAGAAAAGCAGCCAGGGCCAGATTTTGATGGGCTTGCATGCTGTCTTGTTGAACTTTATCCTCTGCACAAGACGGGCGAATTGGAGATGTTTTAAATGAGCGTGACATTAAGTTTATGTGACAGTTTAAGTGTGGTTTGGTGTGTGGGTTTTGTTTTTTTTTTAACTTGGTGGTTCAACAGATGTTTATTGAACTCCTGTGTGCTTCTCCTATTGTTAATGAAATTGAATCTAACTCAATCAAACCTTAGATGTAGCAGTGGTTTGGGTCTCTGCTGTCTTCTCCAGCATTCCTTATGTTGCAGTTCATTGTTGTGGAATGTCCTCCAACCTGAGAAGTCATCCCCCAACACTTTGCTGGACTCTTGTGTTGTGAGCCGGAGAACAAACAGATAGGTCCTGTAGGTTAAACTATAGTGCTTCTTGGAGGCAAGGATGGTGAGGCTTTGTCTCAATTATTTTGGGCACATTGGTAGAAGAGGCTGTTCTTTGAGAAGGACATCATGCTTGGGAAAGTGGAGGGTCAGCGAAGGAGAAGAAGACCCTCAACCAGATGGGCTAACACAGTGTCTGCACCTGTGGGATCAAGTGTGTCAGAGATTGTGAAGATGGCAAAGGATAGGACAGGGTTCATATCAGTTGTTCATAGGGTCGCTGTGGGTCTTACATACGCCACTTGATGGCACCTAACAACACCGTTGTGAGCAAAGTTTTCATTGGCTGATTTTAAGATAGAGACCTTTCGTTATAATCTTGATGTGGAAGCTCCACTGAGGCCTGTCCACAATCAGTGACCCTGTTGGTATGGATGTAAAAAGAGTGCATGTGGGTGGCAGTGTCTGATCACCAATAGTTAACACAAGGCAGAACTGCCCCTATCAACAATGCTCACAGCACAAAACCAGTTTCTCTAAGGTCAGGCATGTGCCCACCCTCCTGAATCCACTTCTGCCAACTCTTTAACACCAACTGTCCTCCCAGGACTGTCACTGCTGATCCTAGGTCTACTAATCTGTTACGATGGCCACACAGAACTTCAAGGGCTCACAGATGGGATTTGTTAGGAAAGCCAACAAGTTCTAGTTTATGATGGAAACAGATTACAACCTACAGTGAGCACAGCTTCTCTGGTGTGCCTGCAGACCCTCTTCAGCCTTGATGCTCCAGGTCGGTGTTACATAGCTGCCTTAGTCTTGCCAGTTATGGTGATGTCTTCTCTCTAGTTTCCTGTAAGCTTGGGCAAAGCCCTCTGGCTCTGGGGTTAACAGCCCTAGGTCAGCTCTGTCTCATGTTGGTCTCTGGTCTAAGTCCTGGTTGGACAGGCACAGGAATCTCTGGTCTTGAAGGACACGCATATTGCATCTTGGCTGCTTTCTTGGTAGTAACGAGATTCCCAGTTTTCTGCTTCTAAGTCTCCTCAATTTAAGCTTAGTGGAATGGTGACATTGACTGTTAGGAGTCTTCATACCCTATTTGCATATCCCCTCTCAGCCATGTAGCAAAAGTGAAAGCCCTTTTGAACAGTAAACTCGCTGCACTAGAATGGGAAGTACCTGTGACCTAGCATCCAGCTCCCTAGCAGCAGGGAGGCCGCTGGAGTACAGATTGACAGTTTGGGCATTGTTTTAGGTGGGGATGTTACTAGCAGTCAGTGGAACAACAATACTGCCTTCATGGTGCTTACATTTTAGCAAAGATGTATACACAGTAGACCACTTAAAGTCAAATCCATTGCCACGATGTTGAGTCAGACTCCAAGGCTGAGCTGTGGTGCTGGACAAAAGTGTTGAACATACCATGAACTAGCAAGAGAACAAACAGGTCCATCCTGGAGAGAGTGAAGCCAAGTTGCTCCTTGGAGGCAAGGATTTTGAAGCTCCATCTCACATTGCTAGGAGGGCCCAGTCCTTAGAGAAGGACATCATGCTTGGAAGGGTAAAGGGACAATACAGGAGAGGAATGTTGCAGACCGAGGGTCAAGTATTTTTATAATTATTAATAATGAGACAGACAGCCAGGAATGACATAAAACAGAGGGCGGAAAGACGGGGCCAGCAGTTTCATCGACTGAAGGGTTCAAGCCATGCCTCTCTGTATTTATTGAGAATCGGGGGGAAGCAAATCATAGAGAGTTCTCTTGTAAAAGAAGCCGAAATCTTCTCTATTGTCAACCTAATGCTTTAGCTCAGGAAGAAAGTATTTCACATGTGTTAACACTCCCTCTATAGGAAGGCCCTAGCTCTCTTGTCTGTAGGAAACAGTTCATTTTCTGTGATCTGGCACAAGAGAAATCCTAACTTATAAATTTGTAATTCCTTCAATTCCTTAACAAGCATATGGTTTTTCATTTACTGTTTGGTATGAAATTTGGTTTCCTATAGAGGAAGACCCTGAATGAGATAGATTGACACAGTAATGGGGGAAGGTGTGTCAGAGATATAGAGAGATTGGCTCAGGATAGGGAAGGGTTCTGAGCTGTTGTGCGTAAGGTCACTCTGAGTCAGAGTCAGCTCACACATAGCAACAGCAATGATAATCTTCACAGAATCTGATTGCCACATCTTTTTCCCATGGAGTGACTGGTGGCTTGAGCTACTGGCATTTCATTGAACATCTCAGTGCTTAGCTGCTGTGCCACCAGGGCTTCTTCACACATGGCAGATGACATTACATCTTTAAAGGTAGTAATAATTGCTGCACACGAGATAATAGATTGGTCACTCAGTTCTCTCATTCAATTTGTTTTGAGAGTGAAATCCTGCAGTCTCTTGGTGCTGAGAAGGGATTTTTTTTTTTGCGGGTTTGAGATGGTGGTGGTGATGGTGCATAAAGATTATTGTAGTTTGTTTCCTCCCCAGCTTGGGAGCTTAGCTCTAGGAAATGAATAAAGTTGAGGAAACTCATCATGTGACAGAGAAAATGCTTTACTTGAAGAGACATAAAAACAAGGTAGAGGGAAGATAAAGTAAGGAACTCGAAATTTTCAGTGTCAGTTGACTGTCCACATGGCGTTTGTCCTTAACTAGAACAAAGTTTGAACCTGAAGGAATAAATATTTTCTTTTAAACTTTAATGTGGGCCTCTCTTTAATGTCACATGCAAGTAAAATCTTGCTGACGATTATTTAAAAATGGCTGAAGCAGTGTGTTCACAGGGAATTTTTATAAATTCAAGCTGGATGATGTCAGATGGGTATGGCTGAAATCAGAGAGTACTGGAAAGATGCTTACTTGTGTTTTATTAACTATGCAAAGGCATTCAACTAGGTGAACTGTAATAAATTATTATTGGGAATAGTAATAATGATTTCAGAAGACTTAACTGTGCTCATCCAGAACCTGTACATGGACCAGTAAACACAGAAAGGCGTACAGCATGTGTCATGGTTTGAATTGTGTCCTCCCAAAATACATGTACATAGTGTTGTTACAATAATATGGAAGCTAGGTAATGATCCCCACCATCAGATACACTGAACAGTTGTGCGAGGATTAAGGTGGGATTCCTTAAATACTTCATAGTTATAATCAGATGTTGGAGGGAGGGTCACCTAGAGGGTAGCATTTTACCAATAGAGAGAAAAGAAAGCACGTCCAGATGAGGAGACTCTTCATATGACCAACAAATAATTGATAAGAGTGGACCTGGTTGCTGCTCAAGGAAGCTCCTTGGTACTGGGCACATGGAGGTACCCAGGAAGCTCCAGGTTGCAGGTACTGAAAGAAACCAGGATAGAGAGAGAGAGCAGGCCTCCATCCAGAGCTGGCACTCTGAATTTGGACTTCTAGCTTTCTAAACTATAAAAGTGTAAATTTCTGTTTATTAAAAACCACCCACTAACTTGTGATGTCTTGGTTATGGCAACATTAGATAAACTCATTGTTTGAAAGCAGGAAAGATTACTGTCAGGGTTGTATCTGTTCACCATACATATTCAGTCTTTATGCGGAGCAAACCCAAGAGGCTGGACTGTATGACGAATGTGGGAGGGTCATCTTCAGTATGTAGATATCACAGCTGTGCTTTGTTTAAAGTTAAGAGGAAGAAGCTCATAGACTGTAGCCTTCAATATGGATTATACCTAAACAGTAAGAAAACAAAAAGCCTCACAACCTGGACCAATAGACAACATCATGATAAATGGAGAAAAGATGGAAACTGTTTATGATTTCATTTTACTTAGCACCACAGTCAGTACTCGTAGATGTGTCAGCCATGGAATCAAATACCTTACTGTATTGACAAAGAATATTGAATAAACTGGACAGCTCAAGAACAAACACAGGTTATGGAAGAAGTACAGCAGGAGGGCTTCTTACAGGTGTGGACAGTGACGTTTGTCTCACATACGTTGGAAATGTTATCTGGAAGGACTAGTCCCTGGAAAAGGATAATGTGCTTGAAAAAGTACGTCAGTGAAGGAGAGTTCCACCCCTCAGTGGGATGGAACTGATGCAGTGACTGCAGGGATGGACTTAAACACAGCGGAGATCGTGATGTGAGGAACTTAAAAGATTGCATAGGGTTTTGTTCGTTTGCACATACGGTTGCTGTGAGTTCGAGCCAACTTGACGACATCCAATAACAGCAAGTGGGCTTTGGTGGACACCTTTCTTTATGGTTTTGTGGCCCATCCAGGTTGTTGTTGTTATGTACTGTTGAATCAGAACCGACCCTTAGCTGGGCCTGTGGCATGTTTTCAGAGGCAGTAAATCCCATGGGAGGAAGTTGCCCATCTTCCTTCCCCACAGCAGTTGGTGGATTTGGGATTGCATCACTCCTCTTACCCCTACACCACCAGAGTTCCACAGATAGAGAACCAAAAGTCCATTTGTCCTGGTTCCATTCTTTGTCTCTTCTCACTTTGACCAAAATAAACGTGATGGAAGAAAGCTGGATGGTTCGTTATGTGAAGTCCATTGATTGATCTGGCAAGAGGGTTTCTGAAATTTAGTAATGACTATTACTAAGAATTAATGAGGAATTTAAGACTGTTAAAATTAGGTTTAGACATGAAACAAAGTTATTTTTAAAAATGTAGAGTTAGTTAAAACGATGGTTCTTTAAGCTTCAGACAACTTTATATCACTTGTAAAAGGTGTGGTAAAACATAGTCTACTTTCCTGGTCTTTGTCCAGCTTTGCTACTGTCTTGTCTAGTGCTGCTACAACAGAGATACCACAAGTGGATGGCTTTAATAAACAGAAGCTTACTCTTGCAGAGTAAATTTGTCCTTTTTTTGGTGAAGTGTCTGTTCATGTCCTCTGCCCATTTTGCAATTGGATGTTTTGGTTTTTCTTCTTGAGGTATTGGAAGTTTTTGATATATTTAAAAGATGAGTCCTTTGTTCTATATGTCATTGTCTTTTTACTCTTTTTATGCACTAAAAACTCCTCATTGCCATCAAGTCGGAACTGACTCATAGTGGACTCTCCATCAGATTTCCAGAGTTTGCAAATTGAATGGAGAAGATTACCCATCTTTCTCCCAAAGAGCAGCGATGGATTCGAACTGCCCTTCTTTGGGTCGGTAGCACGACTCCTTAACCACTAGGCCACCAAAGCTACCTTTTGGTGCACATAAGGATTTAATTTTGGGCAGTCTTGGTCATCTGGTTTATTCTGTATTGATTATGTGTTCCAAATTATATTTGACAGTCTCTTTATGCTATGATTAGGAGTCCTCAATTTGCCCCAGTTTCTTCTTTAATGAACTTTATAGTTTTAGGTTTTACAACTAAGTTCTTTCTTGAGCCATTTTGAGTTAGTTTTTGCATATGGTGTGAGGTGGGAGTCTTGTTTCAGAATTTTGCAAATAGATGCCCAGTTTCCCCAGCTCCATTTGTTAAAGAGGCTGCCAGTTCCCCAGTAATAGGTTTCATATCTTTGTCAGAGGTAAGTTACCAGTAGTGGATGGGTTTATTTCTGGATTTGAAATTGTATTGTTCTTTGTACCTGTTGGTGTACTAATTCCAAGTTATTTTGATTACTGTGACTGTGTAGTAGATTTTGAGATTAGGAAGTGTAACGCCTCATATTTTGTTTGCTTAATCCAGGGTCTCTTTCCTTTCTGTATGAAGTTAATGGTATAATATTGGTTTTGCATGAGTACAATTAAGTATTCTGGGATTCCCCTTCTCAGTGTTAGTCATAATCTGCAAATACAGATGGTTTTACTTCTTCTTTACTAATCTGGATGCCTTTTATTTCCTTTCTTTACCTTACTGCTCTGGCTAAGACTTCCAATACAATCATAAAGGGAAACTCTATCTGGTTCTGGTTCTCAAGGGAAATGCCTTCAGTCTTTCTCATTCTCCATTGTGAGTAATGTTGGCTATTGACTTTATATATGTACTTAAATGCTCATACTCTTGAGAGGGAAAAAATAACACAAAAAAATACAAAGAGGAAATCAAGACAATTTCAAGGTAACTGAACTGTTTTAGACATGGGAATAAAAATAGTAACTTATAGGGTAACCTCCAAGAAAATTAGTAAACTCTATAAAAATTAAGGAAGAAATCCATAAAGTTTAGTGAACTCCAAAACACAGCAGTGAAGGAAATAATAAGAAAAGCCATACATGAAATTAACTCAGCACAGAAAAGCAGATGGAACAAAGAAATAAAAAACACCACACAAAAAGTTTGCAGCAAAATAACAGCAATAAAATCATGCCTGTGGACGATTATACTGAATGTGGATGAATTAAATGCATTAACCAAGAGGAAAAGAAGCTGAATGGATAAGAAAACCGGACTCATCAATATGTTGTACACCTCTTAGACACAAGGACAAAGATAGATTAAAAATCAAAGGGTGAGGAGAAATATATCAAGCAAATAGCAGTAAAAAGAGAAGAATAGCAATATTAAGTTCTGATAAAATAATCTTCAAGACAAAAACCAGCCTTTGAGACAAGGAATAAACAAAAGGTCAATTGAACTGACTGTAACTATGGTATCTGTGCACCCAGTCACAGGTTCATGAGATACTTAAACCAGGCTGTAACAGATCTGAAGAGAGAAATGGTCAACTCCACAGTAACAGTTATAGGAACCTTTAATACACTACTTTCATTGAAAGACTAACTAGAAAGAAACTAAAAAAAGATGTAGACAAATTAATCAATGTAATTAACCAACTGGATATTGTTTACATTCTGATCATTCTACCTCATGGCAACATAAAAAACATTCTTCTCAGGTTCACATGGAACATGCTCCAGAATAGACCCAATATTAGGTCATAAAATAAGCCCAGGAAATTTTAAAATAAATCAAAATAATATAAAGCATCTTCTCAGATTAAAGTGCTGTAAAGTTAGAAATCAAGAGCAAGGAAATATGCACACCCATGTTTATCACAGCTCTGTTCACAATAGCAAGGAGTTGGAAACAACCCAGTTTCCCATCAACAAATGAATGGGTAGAGAAGCTGTGGTATATTCACACAATGGAATACTATGCTGCATTGAAAAACAAGGATCTCATTCAATATTATTCAAAATGGGTGACCCTGGAGGACATTATGCTGAGTGAAATATCTCAGTTGCAAAAGGACAAATATTGCATGGTGCCACTCCTGTAAAATGGTACTGATATCAGGGTGGGGGTAAGACTGAGAAAAACTGGATAAATTGTGTGTACTGCACTGAAACAGATGAGGGAGTGAATAATTTAAAAGCGATGTATGATAGGGTATTATGGTTATCACAAGAGTCCACAATTAAGGTTGCATAGTGGAATGTACTTGGGGCGGTTGGAGGGGTGTGGGGATATTGTGTACCAGGGAGGGAGTCTTTCTTTTACTTTTGAAAGAGAGGAGCGAACTGGGGGGCAGGGGGAGAGGGCTGGGCGGGTAGAGAAGTGCAGCAATGAATGAATGGAAATCCAAATTCTCTGTAAATGTTCATTAAAATTATTTTTTTGACTGGTACGGGAGGAGATTGTCCCTCCTTCTCCAGCAGAGCATCTGGTGGATTCGAACTAAAATTATTTTTTTAAAAAGAGCAAGGAAATGAAAGGTAAAAAAATTAAGTAGATGGAAACTAAATAGCACCCTGCTTGACTTCAGTTAGGTAATTAAAAAAACCCCAAAACATTAAAAGATTTCTTGAAACAAATGAGAATGAAAGGACAATGTAGCAAAATCTATGGGACACAGCAAGAGCAGTACTCAGAGGTCAATTTATAGCAGTAACCACCAGTCGGAAAAAGAAGGAAAAAACCCAAATTAACACTTTAACCAAACAACTCTGACAATTAGAAAAAGAACAGCAATCAGAGTCTGCAGCCACCAGAAGAAAGGAAATTATAAAGATAAGAACAGAAACACATAGAACACAGAAAATCAATAGAATGAAAAAACTAGAAACTGATTTTTAAAAAAATGATTAAAATTAACAAGCCCCCCTGGTAAATTTAACAAAGGGAAAAAAAGAGGTGGCCAAAAAACCCCAAGAAAATGAATGAAATGAGTCAAGTCACAACAGGATGAAAATTAAAAGCTTAGTAGCAAAATCCTGTGAGGAACTTGACTGAAACAAACTTGAAAACAATAGAGGAAATGGACAAGTTTTAGAAACTTGCTGCCTGTGTAAATTAACACAAAGAGAAGTAGAACATTTGACCAGAAGCATAGCAAAAGAAGAAACTGAACAGATCATAAAAATATTTCCACAACAACAACAACAACAAAAAACCCCAAAAAAACCCAACAAAAGGAAAAAAACCTCACAAACCCCATTTTTTTCTCCCTTTTTCTTTTTCAGAGTCTTGGGAATTCACAAAGAGAATATGAGAAACAGGTCGTCCTGTACAGTATCCGTAACCAGTTACGATACAGAAATAACTTAGGTAAGGAGGAACATTTTTCCCCCCATTCAGATGGAAATGAAGATTACTGATTTATCATACTCACAAGTTTGTTTTGCGTTTTGTTGTTTTGCTTTTTAAAACATTTACGTGCAATACTGAAATGATCCTTCCTATAGATTTTTAAAATACTAATTCATCCCACCTAGCAATAATTGACATTACCCAGTAGAGTTTTTAACTTTCTAATTCTGATAAAAATTATTTAAGAGTACTATTTATAAATTTGTTTTATTATAGAACGTGAATCTTAATTTCAAATGTCCTTTTCTTGTCTTAGGTAAGAAAATATTCCAGGAAGGAAGAAGTACATTAGTGCTTAGTAAATTTTGAATTTTGATTTTTTTTTTTACTAACTTTTCCAAATTATATAATTTTAATGAAAGTCTTTTAAAAAATAATTAGAACAAACTTTGAACATCATTGTTTTCTTATTTTACTCTCTTAAAAAATGATTACTTTTTATTTGTCTGATAACTTTGATTAGCCTATTAACCTGCTAATCTTTCCTTCCCCTGTGTCATTCTCATTCCAAACATAGTATGTCAGAGTTATTTTCCTATTGAGATGTATTCCATGGAAATAAATTTACATTTAGAAAACAGAAAGTAACTTTTAAGAATGTACTTGACTCTGTTGGAAACTAGCATCTGATTTGACTCAAGTAAAGTAATACAATAAGAGATTTGATGTATTATAGTCTATATTTTGCACCCTTTTGGGGGCATGCTGGTTGTTCCACACTTCTTTCTGATTTGGTAAGAATTATTTCTCTATCTTTCCTATTTACATTTCATGTATTTTCTCTAAAGTGTATTTCTTGTAGTACAATTGTTTCAATTTAAAATTTTTGTTGTTGTTTTCCAACATAAATATTTTTGTGTTTGTGTAATGTTGGTCCGTAATATGTATTTTTGATTTAAAGTTGTTATATAATTGTAAGAAACCTGATGGGGATATAAACTAGAGAATTTCTTATTTTCCCTAGTTAAGCATGTCAAGAAAGATGAACGCAAATACTATGAAGAATTGCTGAAATACAGTCGCGATCACCTCATGCTGTACCCTTACCATTTATCCGATATCATGGTCAAGGGCCTGAGGGTCACACCATTTTCATACTACACGGGGATTATGGAGGTGAGTTTAGGTGAAGGTGGACCCTGTGTTGGTGGCTGGGGCTGCATCTCAGGGCCACTTTGCACATGATGAATCAGTCTGTGATTTTCAATGACAGTGGACATAGTTTTTACATTTACAGCGTTGAAAAGGTTGCAGGTTATAGATTCACCCAAACAAGTAGTTGTTATTATCATTATATTCTTTACCTTTTTAAAAACTTTTTGTGTTATCTAGCAATCAGTCACTTTCTTTTAACAATTATTGTTAAGTGCTCTTGAGTTGACTCACTTGACTCATAGAAACCCTGTGTGCGTACAACAGATCGAAGTCTTGACCATTCTTGTGCTGGCCTCACAATCTCCACTGTGTTGTCAGACCATTTCCTTGATGGTCTTCCTTTTCTTTATGAAAAGAATAACAAACCTAAGGACTGGCCCCTCTTGATAATTGTGCCCAAAGTGTGTGAGATGAAGTCTTACCATCCTTGCCTCTTAAGCACCCCTTGGCTGCATGTCTTCTAAGATAGATTTTTGGAAGTCTGTGGCCTATTCAATACTCTTTGCCAACATCTCGATTCAAAGGCATCGATTCTTTTTAGATCTTCCTTGTTCATCATCCAACTTTCACAAGCATTTGAAGTAATTGAGAAACACCATGACTTAGGTCAGGTCTTTAAACTTGACCTCTTTGCTTCTCAGCGTTTTGAAGAGGTCCTTGGTAGCAGAATTTGCCCAGTGCCAAATGTCTTTTGATTTCTTGTGTTAGTAGAGTCTGTATGAACTATATTACTTTTAATGCATGATTAAAGATGAGCATTCAGGTGAGGAATTGAACATTAAATTCAGAGAAACATAAATTATTTAACTATTTACTGCCTGTAAAAGGAGCACATGATGACGGAGATAACAAAAAAGAGTAGTAAGTAGTCTAGGCTTCTAATCTCTCTCTGTAATGGACTGTGGATTTTACCTTTGTTCAAAGCCATTTTTAGGTCTGTGTTGATAACCTTCTCCAGGTTATATATAAACTACTAGTGTTCTAGTAAATTGTGCTTAAATATATCTTGTTCCTGTTTCATAGCCATGTGAAGAAGAGGGACTGAAACTAAAGGGGAGGGAGCCTGCAGGGACAGTGAAGTTAGCAAGGCCGCCTCCCTATATAATCTGCCTCCGTGTGCTTCAAGCATCCTCTTGTTTACTTCCTTGAGCCTCTTCTTAGAGGACTTCTACAGCCCCATGCTTCATGTGTCCCTGATTTTGAGAAAAACCTAGAGTAGAGCTGGCCTGACAGCCCAGATTTGTCACTCTTTTCTCCCCAGAACTGGGTTGTGTAAATCGCTGACTGCTAATCTGCAAAGACTATAGCTACTGTCTCATTAATTCTGTGATGCTGTCCACAAGGCGTAGCAAAGAAATTTTTGCCCTATTTACCACCTTTCAATTAAATACTTGTGTGTGTTGCCCTCTGATTTCTAGTCTTAAACTATTTTGTCCTACTCAACAGAGAACTACCAGAAGTCCAGGCTGGTTTCAGAAGGGGT